ATTCTGCGAAAATGATATACGCTCTTTCTCTATGCAAAGGCGTATGATTCCACAGCGAAAAGCGATAATTTACAGCGATGTTATTCGGCATAAAGTTGATGAGTTAATGTGATCGCTAAGTAGCAAGGATTGCGTGACGTAGAATGAAATTCTAATAGCGGATGAAGTTGAATTGTATTAGCAAGTGGTTTTAAATTAGTAGGATATGATTATAACATAACGTTTGAGGACAAGATATTTGATTATGCGAACTATTATTCTCAGACTGAAAAATAAACTTTGAAAATACAAACATGGAAAGAAAGACGGAGAAAGACGGAATGATAATCATGTTTTATAAAGCATAAGATATTCTTATTTTCAAGAGAACCGACAAATTAATTCCTTCTTAATGATTATTAATAATATTAATAATAATATTCTTTTTTAATGATTATTTATTTTGAGAATGACAACTTTCACAATTTGTTAACGCGCATTCCATTCCGTAATATATTAAGTAAGTTACTTACTTTAATTAAAATAAATATTTGTTCATAATTCCGACAATGTTAATTTTTCGACCCATGTTTGTAAGAATGAGGGTGATAGCTTTTTGAAGAATTATTGACTGCCTGATATCGGGAGATAATTACGGGTCAAGTATAAGAGATAGCCAGGGACGGTACAACTCACTATCGGATGTTGAGTTTAATAGTCATCTAGTTAAGATATTTAGGTCAGACTTAAAATAATTATACACGTCGATATTTCAACCTAAGTTGAACTAGTAAGTATGTACTCGTTGACGTTCAGGTCTCACTTCAAGTATATGGCGACAAAGGTTGAGGCGGTTGGCCCTCGGAGACCGGCGTCGGATATACGCAACCGTAATGATGTTCGTAGTTCTCTACAGGGTGCCGGTTTAGGCTGACACCTTAGTTGCGACTCACAAGGGACATGTCACAACTGTCCGGAACCGATTTGATTCTCCTTCAAATATGTTGTTAAATACACAAATCTAAAAGACATATTTTTTTATATGTGCGAATATTGAGTTTTAAAGGGTGAAACACCCCTTTAAAGAAAAACGATATTTTTCTTTAGAATCGAATATCTGCTAAACTATAAGCGATAGAAAAAAAAACATGTAATGAAAATTTAATCGCTTAAAGAATACTTTAAAGTTATATGAACAAAAATTTTTTATTTTTATCTGTTTTTTAAGAACCCCCACCACTTAATTTTTTTTTGCAAAATAAAAAAATTTTTTGTATCTAATTTAAAGCTTATTTTTTTTCAAATTCAACCATATATGATAAAGTTATGTAACGAGATATCATTCTCGAAAATTAATTATAAACGCTTCCATATATACGCTTATCCGTACTATGTGTGTAAGTCATTATCGCCGAAACAATAAGATATATGAAAAATGTTTATGTGAAATTTTTATCTATGTTTTCTATGTATTTATAACTGCATATTGTGTATATTTAGAATTGTAAAAAAATTTTTAAATAATTTTAAAAAACTTAAATTAATAAGAATTTTTTAAATATATCCCCAGCTCTCTTATTATTTCTTTAACATTTAATTTCTTCTATAAAAAGTAAAAACAATTTTATTCTAAAATTACCTACTTATAATAAAATTATTTTACAATTGAATCTTGAAAATATACATGTCGCAATAGTTGGCATAAACAATTTATATTTTACGTTACAAAATTAAGATAAGATTATGTGTACGTGTTCCTGATATGTTAACAGTATAAATTTTTTCATATAGCGATCTAATACTCACAGTCAGCACACACTGTCTTTTCGTTATATAATCAAATCTGTTATTCATCTTTACACATTATATTTTTGAATAACGTTTTATAATTTTTTCTCTTACAATTATTTTTGTTCTTATATCTTACATTTTGTTTATTTGTTATTTACACAATGAATTTATTTACATTTTATATTATTTACTCATTATACATATTACAATAATGATATTCGACAAGAAAATGTTTTAAGCATAATGATTTCTTGCACCAAGAACATTTTACTACAGCTATATTATTGCAACCTTCAATACATTTTGTTGATGTTTCGTCAAAACTAAATTTTCCTGGACTTTCAAATTCTTCTGGTCTTTCGTTCGTATAACCACTTTTAAACCACGAATATTTAAATAAGTTTTGATATCGTGGGGATGATAATTGATTATGTATCAAAGATTGCAATTTTATTATATTATTTCGTTCATGTAAATTTATATTACTTTCCAACAATAAAACCGTATCTGAAAATCTTTTAGCAAAATTTTTCCAAATTCTGAATCCATAAACATCCAATGGTTGTATTTTCCCTTCCTTTCGGTATTATCATAGTAATAATATGTGTTCCTGGAGGGGTTAAATCCGAAATAGTATTGGGGCAATGTCCAGTCCATGAATCGATAAGAAGAACGCTATTAGGACCAATGTTTGCAAAATAAGCTTCTTCTAATCACATTTTAAAATGATCTGTACATCACATCTGTAAAATATATAAATGATATAATAGTTTTTATAACCCTTATTAAATTATAAAATGAAATAAGTTTGTTAAAGAAAATAGTTAGAAAAGAAAATACCTGATGTCATTTTACCGGATTTCAATGCTTTTACAATGACATTTTCTGGTTTAAATAAATTTTCTTCTACTCTTGGTCCAAATTTACCACTATCTTCTTTTAATACAATAAATAAAGGTGACAACAAATTGCCATTATAGGATTGTTATTACGTTATTGGTTGTATCGTATATGAATGGATTGTTGATGATATAGATTGCACGACACGTTCTACTTTCTTTTCTCCCTGGAAGACAATGGTCTTCCAGAATGAATTTCTAATTGGAAACCACTTTGATCAGAATTGTAAATATTTTCAGATCCAAATTGTTCAATAAGAGATATTGTTTCCACAAAATCATCAGCTGATTTTTGCAAATCAACAGAATCTTCTAATGTTCTTCTAGTGATAAACTTCGTAACTTTTCTTGAAACAATTCGGTGAGACTTCTTGAATCTTGCTATCCAACTGTGAGATGTTTTAAATATAGGATTTAAATTTCCTATTTCTTCTTGAGCTTGTAAAGCCCATCTTTTTAGATCAATATCATGAACCATGAATCCTGATTCAATAGCTACAGTAAATTAATCATGTGTAAATTTGGAGATGTAAGATAACTTTTCTATACGACTTCCATCTGAATTTATTTGTTCTTCCCATCGCCTTAACTGACGTTCAGATGAAACTCTTCTAAATTTACTTTGCACTACTTTTAAAGGACGATTCTTTTTTTTGTCATTACTGTTTTTATCAATATCTCGATGTCGCCAAAACTCAACAGCTCGTCTTTTATAAAAACTGTCAAAATTTGTATCATTCTTTGAACAATGAGGATGAGAATTTAAATTATCTTCATTCCATGCTTCTTCGTTCGTTATCTTCAATTATTTCAGAACTATGTAATTTATAAGGTTCTTCATAATCGAGATATATTTCTTCCGTTACTTCCAACCCATTATAATGAAAAACACCATCCAGCAATAATTTTTGTATGTTTTCCTTTAATTCCTTTTCTGCTTCAGTTACTGGCGTTTCTGTTAGATATATTGAATTTATTGACACCAATAAAAGTCTAGCAACGTTAAGCGGATTGATAATCATTTCCAAAGATGTTAAATTTTGCTTTTTATTGCAATATAAAAACAGTTTACACAGATATGATTACAATGAGAAGACTATACTGACTGTGAGAATTATGCTGCTACATGAAACAATATATCATATATTATCAACTTATCTAGGACACATACACATAATCTTATCTTTTAAAGTAAGATACAAATTGTTTACGCCAAATATTGCGATATGCATTTTTTCGCAAAGATTTAATTGTAAAATAATTTAATTAGAACTTATCAGGAACATGTACACATAATCTTATCTTGTTTTGTAACGTAAGATATAAATTGTTTATGCCAACTATTGCGACATGTATATTTTCAAGATTCAATTGTAAAATAATTTTATTATAAGTAGGTAATTTTAGAATAAAATTGTTTTTACTTTTTATAGAAGAAATTAAATGTTAAAGAAATAATAAGAGAGCTGGGGATATATTTAAAAAATTCTTATTAATTTAAGTTTTTTAAAATTATTTAAAAATTTTTTTACAATTCTAAATATACACAATATGCAGTTATAAATACATAGAAAACATAGATAAAAATTTTACATAAATATTTTTCATATATCTTATTGTTTCGGCGATAATGACTTACACACATAGTACAGATAAGCGTATATATGGAAGCGTTTATTATTAATTTTCGAGAATGATATCTCGTTACATAACTTTATCATATATGGTTGAATTTGGAAAAAAATGAGCTTTAAATTAGGTACAAAAAATTTTTTTTATTTTGCAAAAAAAAATTAAGTGGTGGGGGTTCTTAAAAAACAGATAAAAATAAAAAATTTTTGTTCATATAACTTTAAAGTATTCTTCAAGCGATTAAATTTTCATTACATGTTTTTTTTTCTATCGCTTATAGTTTAGCAGATATTCGATTCTAAAGAAAAATACCATTTTTCTTTAAAGGGGTGTTTCACCCTTTAAAACTCAATATTCGCACATATAAAAAAATATGTCTTTTAGATTTGTATATTTAACAACATATTTGAAGGAGAATCAAATCGGTTCCGGACAGTTGTGACATGTCCCTTGTCAGACCAAACGCGACGCCTTCCACGCTGCTCATTGCGACGCGCTTCGTGAACTCTTTTTCTAGCAACTGGGTCCCTTGGCGCATCACTTCGTTGAACACCTGCTTACCTGACGTCGTGATGATCTCCGTACTGGCTAACGAGACGTTGGGTTCGACTATGCTGTTTGCGTAGGACGAGGTTCCGCTTGCGGACGGTGATCGCTAGACTCATTATCTTATGATTCATATAGCTTCTCCAGCTGAAATAGCCGCTCCTAAAAGCTAAGATTGCGAAAAAGATATCGCTCGCACCTTCGGATACCAAGGCGCTGGCCATATACGTCATAATGTCGGCGCAAAAGATTTGTATCATGGTAGCAAGTATGATCTGCATCATGCCTAACGTGACGACCGTAGCAATCTTGAATATCATTTTCCAGCTCCATCGTTTCTCCTGAAGTACCAAAAGATCATCCAGACTGTTCATCGCGAAGATTTGTAATTCCTCGCTCGGGTAATCGTCACTGCTGAAAAATTCGCTTGTTTCGATATGCTTCAACAGCGGTATCATATTACAGTCCGGAACGTCCAAGGTCTTGAACGTGTTTTTCAAAGCTTCCAAGGTTTTAACGATGTTCTTCATCGTGGCCTTCTTGCCAAAGTGATTGTAAGCATCTATGATAGTCTTGATAGTTTCTGTCGGTCTCTCGTACTTCGTCGATTCGCGTGTACATCTCAGAGTGTCACCATCGACGAACACTAAAATTTTTTCTCGCTCTGCCTCTGTTAAACTATAATCGTATTTCCTATAAGATCTTGGCCCTTGAGACTTTTAATTACATTTTCCTCTAACGACTCCATCACGTCGATCCATCTTTTTTGAATGATGTAATTAAATAATTCTGCATCCTTCTTCGTCCGCAGTACCAGATTGTTTTTATAGAGTATTTGCATGAAAACATCCTTTCCACGTATCATGCGCTCATACATGTTCCGCAATTTGCTCTCCAGACTATAATTATTGCTGGATAGCTTGGCGTGTTTGACGATCTTCTCTTCTATCAACGAATCGATTATCGATTTATGCGGGTTAGGCATTAAATGCAGGCTACTGGATATCACCTCGCTCTGGAAACTTCTTATCAATATCTGCAACGCTATTCTGTAACGTTATTCTGTAAACAGATGTACAACAGCATTTTCATACAGTTTTCGTAGATGGGGCAAGAAGGTAGTTGAAGATTCACGATCTGGCCATAAGGGACGACCAATCGGTAAAGACCTTTTTCTCCATCTGATAAGACCTTTTGCTTGATCAGATCCGTTATAATCCGTTTCGTATCTTCCTCCGAGAAATCTCGTTCGGTCAATTCCTCCACAGTGATAGAGTCAAAGTATGGAAAGATTACGTCTTCCACTTTTCCCGCATCGTAGGTCGCCTTTTTGTTATAGTTGAAAACGTTTCTGCTTTTCAGTATCTTATATTTGTCATCACTAATGAATTTCTTGAAGAGCCTCTTCTCCAAGATGATATCTTCGTCCTCGTTGTCCTGTTGGAAGAAGAGCAACTGTTTTTTATTGCATTTCAAAGTCTGCTTCTCCAGTTTCTTCTGCTCGATTATATTGTCCAGCGATATCAACAAAGAGGGATCAATGTTCCGTAGCTTTTTCATGACAATTTTTACTTCACTTCGTCCTTCAAGATCTTCTGCTTCACTAGCAACTTCCAGAAATCTTCCTTATAGAGCATCCTCACCGACTTCTTCATATCCTTCTCGAATTGCTGTAGCTGTATAGAGGAGTCACGTTTCTTCATAAGAAAGTTGTCCAACTCTGTCGGAATTACTTCGTGATGCTCGCAGATCTTCTTCACGATGCCTTCCTCAATATTTTTCGATACTCTCGGCCTCCTTAAAATGTCGTTTTTAATCAAGTCGAGATATAAAGTCTCGGCTAACTCCTCGTTGATATCGTATTTCTCAAGATTCTGCGACGTCACATTATGACCGAACATATCGTCAATAGATCGTAAAAAGATCTCATATATGGTGCTGATGTTCTCGTGTTACTCCATGAACAAGTCGATCTCTATGGTACCGAAATTTCGCTGTTTCAGGTATTCGATGGTATTTACGGCCCACTTCGCATAATCGCGATGCTTCTTGAAGAATTTCGCCGCTTCCCGCAATTCTTTCTTGAATTCCTTTAAAGTGCTCTGGTTCTTCTTGTCGATCTTCTTGATCAACGAGAAAGCCTTGTAATAATGCGCCCCTTCCGGGAAATTAGGCTCTTCATTGATAACACGATCGAACAGCTCAATCGCCGCGTCCTGCTGCTTATTTCGTGCGAAATATTTGGCGAGCCTGATAACTTGGGTGGGTTCGCGAGTCCAGTACACCCAGTCTTTGCTCTCTTTCGACTTCAATGCCCGTAAGCGATCGATCAGTTTGCTGAGGGAAGCTTTATATTTCTTCGTGTTCTGCTCGCCCAATGTACCGTTTATATATTTGTTGTTCTCATCCAACCAGAAAGCCCATCCGTCCAGGCAGCTACGCAGCAGTATTTCCTTCACTTCATCACATACCTCATCCCTTAAATTCTTCTCCAGCTGCTGGTACCTTTCTAAATTGGTAAAAAGCATCCTCTTCTACAATTATTCGCGTTTCACAGTGTAGCTTGATATCGGTGATGCGACGGATCTCTTCAAAGTCCCGCTCTTTTTTCAGGTGCGACATTTGCACGTACCGCAAGCCCAGGACAATCAATCTACCGGAACCATTGTTACCATACCGAGCTGCACGGCCGAAAGCCTGTTACTCTACCCAATTGTTGTTTGATAGATACGTGAGACAAACATGCAGGCCGCCCGCCTTGTCCAACTATTCGGTGATCTTGAAATTAGTACCACGACCGGCCAAATTGGTCGCGATGATGATTTGACCTTCACACAGACGCTCAGTAGCCATGCCGAATGATTCGTATTCGCGCGTGTACGTATGCAAGTTTGTCATGTTCTTGGCGCCTAACACCCTATACAGAGATTCTACGTGTTGTACGGTCTCGCAAATTATCAACACTGATCGGCCTGCTTTCGTATAAGTATCAACTTCCGAACATATCTGCTGACGCTATTCCTGCAGGTTGGCACAGACAATTGGATTATATTCTTTGAACTTCCTCATTTTCGTAGTCGGTACCGTGACGAAGTCCACCTGGTAGATTTCTCGCAGTAGATCTCGCTCTCGCTGTGAGTCTAACGTAGCGGTCAAGCCATATAGATTATTATAAAGCTTCAAGTAACACACGTTCGATTCGAATACGGCCTTTAAACTTTGTGTCGACAGCCTGCAGCCATGATTCAGTTGCAAGAACTGGTGCAACGCTTCGTCCCATTGAGAGTTCAACTCGTCTGTACCTGTGTCACGGTCAATGATAGTGATATTGGCCTTGAGATCCGGCCTGCTGTCTTTTCTATCAATATCAACTATGTAGTCTTGTCGTTCTTGCATAAATAACGCCGACTTGGCGCTGTTGATCCAAGTGTCTAAGTGGAGGGCTACAAACGGTTTCAAATAATTAGGAACAACGACGGATTTCTCATCCTTGGAAATCTGCTGAAACAGATAGATCAGATACCGTTCGTAACGCTTGAAGTCGGGTGACAATACCTCCACGATGTCTCTTTCGCTCACTTTGTCCTTTAGTAGGTAACCGACGTTATCGATTATATTGTATTTGATCAAACGTTCCCATATGGCATTTATTTGTTGGCCGCTTATATATCCATCGATTTTCCTGATGTCCTCCTTCGAAAACGAGCCGTACATATTGCATAAGATCGCCTGTCTGATCGCTTTACTGTCGATGATCTGCAGATCTGCTTTTGGCTCGTGAAAGTCCTGTTAATAAACTTCCAGATATACACATAAATAGTCTCAAGCTTGTCCAGACACGGTAAGTACAGTATGTTGTTACCCTTGTCGAGCAGCATGCTATCCACTTCGTCTATGATGACATTCTCGAAGCTACTGTTGCCTGGAATGTTCTTACCGTAGAATTGATCCAGCAGATAGTCGCGCTGGAAGTCGGACAGTTCTCTGTAAACGACGTCCTTACAGGAATACACCTCCTTTCGGTTTTCGATGTCATTATCACAATTGTGCGATACACTAATGGAGAGTAGGTTGTAAATATCGCTGTTGACCTTGCAGTCACGTTTCGCCAATACCGACGAGCTGGTGATGATCGACCTTTTGACCGCAGAGCGCCTTCAACATCGACAATGCCACGATAATCAACGATTTACCCTCTCCCGTGGATACCTGCATCAGTATGCTGCATTCATTCCTAATTAGTACTAATACAGCAAGTTTCTGCGTGTCGCGAAGCCTGAAATTTTTCTTCATATTTATATGTTGTCCATCAGACTCAGCAAATCAGTCATATAATTGTTTACGTACTGCAGTTTATCACTTTCTTTCTCGCAAATCTCTATGTTGGATTTGTGTCTCACGATTTCCTCTTTGATCACTTTCTCGCTCGTCGCCGTTACTTGTTTCATAGCTTGAATGATGTCCCTGATAGAAATCAGATGTTTCAGAATACGTTCGGAAGTGTTGCCATTGCCTCTGATCAAATCAATCAGCTTTTTTATGTTACGATCTTCCCCATTAGTAGGGAACATTTCTTTCATCAGGATTGTTCATTGGTTGATCTGGTAGTCATTGAGTTTAATGAGAACTTCCTTGGACAAATTCCACTCTCCGTTGTGAAAACTTGACAGAATCTGGAAAAAATCTTGAGTATTTATCGAGCTGATTTTCTTTTGAAAACAGGATGACACCTCGCTTGTTACACTTATGCTCTTATTCGATTGCAATGTGACACCATTTTTTATGAGAAGATCCATCAAGGCATCTGCGAAAGAAATGCCGGCGCTGTTCTCCAAAGATAACAAGTAATGAGAGGCTCTCTGCAATTCTTCGTCCTTCCATTCAGTTAACACGGACAGTTTGGTCGTCCAATATTTCTCCTTGATTGCGTACGGCCACTCGGATAATTCCAACGCATGGAGTCCGGGCATGCGTTCCGAAATATTACTCAACAAGTACAAAATGTTTCTTATACATTCCGTCGAGAAGGCTTTATTCTCTGATTTTCTCTGTCCCAATTTGAAGCTCGATAGTAACAGAGTTTCTTTCATATGAATATTCGCCAAACACTGCCTCCATTTTTGTATCTCATCCAACAACATTTGAAAGTGATTTTCGAGCTTTAACAATATAATTTCGTTTAACCATTGTTGCTGTGGATATGCCGTGATTATCCAGCTAAATACATTTAGGCCAGGACAGTCCTCGATGACGAAATTCAGTACTGCGTTCACCAGGCAACAGAGTTCGTTGTAGGTAATGTGTACCGTTGCATGAGAAAATCTTGGCTATAGCGTGAATGATCTCACGTTGTTCAATGTACTTAGATGATAACTTATCCAGCATGAATCGTAGCTTCTGTTTCTCTTCTGAGAAGGAAAAGTGTCGTGTTATTTCGTACATATCTAATTTCTCGTCGATTTCTATTTCGGTACTGGAGATAACACTGTTATCCTCTTTTCTTCCAGGGAGAAACAACCCTTTCTTCATATATTCATCGAGGTCTGCTTTATGTTCCATCGACTCCACTTCTGCGATTATTTTTGCGCACATATTAGCTCTGCCGTTACGTTCCATGTCCAGTCGGAGGGAGTTCTGATTGACATTCAGTAGTGTGTAGTTCTTGTACAAGAGGTATATAACATCTGTAGATTGCGAATTGTGTACGTCCAACAAACAGATTTGATTATTTCGATCCGTGATGTACATGTAGATATTAATGTTGAATATATACGCTAACAATTCTCGGTAACTCGGTGACAACGGACCGTGTAGTTTTATATGTCGTACATATTCCTTGAATATTTTCGTGTTCTTCATACATTCCTCCCAACTTAAATGTTCATTGAACATCTCACTAAATTGTCGGTAAAGCTCCTTCAATTGTTAGTCCTTTTTCGCATCCTCCTTTAACTTGTTTTCTACATTTGTGTTATTTACACTTCGGAAGAACTGACCTACAACTTTGTTACAAAAGCCTGCGTCGAGGTCTGATTCTTTATAAAATTTTTTCAATTTAGTCTCTTGCTCGCCGACGAACTTGCTGTATTCTTCGTAATACTTCGTCACATTTGGATGCACTCCCTCTTTTTCACCCTCGTCCATTACAAAGGATGCAATAGAGAACTTGAAAACGTCGTAATATTTGCTTACGTTTTTTGCTGTGCAAAATTTCGAGAGCATCTTGCGTTGCGTCTCGTTATCCTTGAAGAAGTACTGTTGCAAGTTGCCCAACTTTTTGTGCAAACTTACATTAACATGCAGATGACTTTCGTCTTTACGAAAATACTTTGTTGCATTCTTTGATGTTAATTCAAATTTGTTATTAGTGATGCACTGAGACTTGTCTATATGTAATGCGATTTGTTGTTGAACAGCTAAACGATACTTTTCAATTAAGAGTTGTTCAATATTTTTCTGCAATTGTACTTGAATATCATGTGCACTGTCATTCGTGTTTTCTTTCTTCTTTTGTGCATGTTTCTCTTTCAACCGTTCGTAAAGCTTAAACAAAAAATTAAAATCAGAATAACCAAGTTGCTCATTTTTTAATTCAAACCACTTATTTAATGAAGCTTGTCGTAAACTTTTTAGCAAATTTTCCAAAGACTTCTCATGTGTTTATTGAGACTCAGTGAAGCAAATAGGAGAAACTGTGTTATGTACTCTTGCATTTTTTTGAGCAAATGGTTTTGCATGCATAACAGTTATCTTCGATATTTCCTTTATTTGCTGCCCTCTCTCCTCCACCGTTTTCCTGAAAGTGTGTCCTCAGCATATCGCAAGTACGACTGGATTTCCTGATACAAATTGATGTTTATCCTGATCAGATGTTGAGAATACTGCATTGATGATATGTTTCTGCGAAATATTCTTCTTTTTCTTACTTCGAGCTTGGAGCTCAGAGCGCATTGAAGTATCTTTCTCTGTGAACGTCGTACTTGCAAGTTCCGGGATGCTAATCTCTGTTATTTGTACATACTTATTGTTAAAATTCGTGGCACAATAAGGAACGTATATCCGATTCGAAGCATTGCTGTCATAATAACTTAACTCGAGTTTGTTATTCTTATTAGTACCATAATAATTTCCTTTCATCCAGGTGCGCAATCGATAAAAGACATGTCCCAGCCATTTTTGCCGTGGGTGCTGCATTTACCTTCTTTGCCATTCTCGCCATTTTCGCCCGAATTGGAAACTACGACAATACCATTGTCGTTACTAATCACTTCACCGGGGTATCTTCCTTGCCCACCTAAACCAGCCGTACCGCCACGTCCTCCGGGACACCCTGAAGTGCCTTTATACAATACGAAACTTTGGCCGCCGAACGAAGAAGAAAAGTAAATTTCTTCACCGTCTTCTGTTACAGCCTCTAGGTATACATTGCATCTTTTTTTGCATTTTATTATATCTTCTACTGAACGATTCTTACCATTTAGCCACGATACCCTTATTTGTCCTAAGGAACAAATATTACGAACTATGGTTCTCAAGTTCCTAACCAGAAATTTACCAACAAGTTTCCCACTACTTGGGAATTTACTAGTGAAATCTACATAAGAAATTCCTGTCCCGTCTCTTCCGTTCTTACCGTCTCCGCCGCTTTGACCATCGCTACCATTTCCACCATTGGACCAAATCTCCAGCATCTCCGGATGCAACACGTTATCTGCATGAATGAAAACATTTCCGCCGCTTTCTCCACATTTTCCATGCTCTCCGTCTATACCTACACCGTCGTCGTCGGTTTTCGCTTTGATAATTGTTGTTGCGTCTGAGGACATTCCAGAAATATCCCATTTACACTTGTGACAAATTACAATCGCTTTAGCATACACCACGATGTTTTTTCCATGCCATGTACTGTTCTCCAAATTTTCATTGACATACATGATGCCAGAACATATGAAACGAACTTCTTCTATGCAAGAGTCATGTAACAACATGGAATTGATATCATTGATGATATCACTTAGGTAAAAATTTCCACCTATTACTTCAATAACGACTTGATTATCAGTCGTCAATTTTTCTAGTGTTACCGGTTTAAAATATACTCCGATAATTTCTTGATATTTATCCATTAAAGCAATATGTTTTTGTCCCATTAATGACTGCGCCATGTTTTGCAATTGCTTAAGTTTTATGTCATAATCGGCGATATCAAGGTCCATAATTAATTGAAAGAATTTATCGCTTGATATGTCAGGTTCATACAAGTATTGTAACTTCATTATGTCCGGATATTCCTCGCATTTTTCAAATATAGTTAAAAATTCGAGCAATGCCTTAAGAAAGTCAATCTCCTTAATTACGGTGTTACTATGTGCCATTGTAAGTTTCAGGCATTTCCCTTTAAAATCTCTCATCAAGGTTTTTTCTTTGTGTTGTTCAATAAGATCTTTGTGTTCCATCAAAAGTTTGTAATAATTCGACTCACTAAACGAAGACGGGGTTTCAACAAAATATCTGATGTTGTTCAAAGCAGTGAGTTATTCTATTAAGTGGCCGTCAGCTGAATGTTCTTCTAAAAAACTATCGATCTCCTCCAACCAGTACTCCAAACAGTACTCGACATATTTATTCTTTATGTAAGTACGATCGACAATATTCAACTGAATGTTATGTTCTTTCTCAATGATATTCTCTATTTGCTCCAAAGAATATCCATGATTCCACAAATTTGTTCGTATTAGATTTGAAATATCTCTTACCTTCATTATGACTTCTTTTGTAATTTTGCTATATGTATAGTATCTTGATACGTAATTCTTAAATCCTAAAAACTATCCTTAGTAATAATTCTATCTGATAAAGCATGATATTTGCATATCTTATGTCTCTAGATTGTTAGCTATTGAACTTGGCAATATCTAGAAAAAGGGAAAATGAAACATGTTATGACATTCATTAATATATTTTCGTGTACATTATGAATGATAGAATATCATTTTTATTAAAGAAAATATTTATAGGAGAAAGCCGAGACATTATCGAATGCAGGTTGTATTGATTGAACGATTACCTACCTTTTTATTTCATTTATTCAGAGGTATCAGATAACGTTTGCTGACGCCTCCGTTGAAATTGTGGAGAGTTCTAATATGCGTTGCTTAGCAATATGTTATCTGTTCCTACGAAAACACACATATTTAGTAAGCATAATGCATACTGCTAGCACTTGCGTTATCGTTTATATTCTTTCAAATAAACTACTTTAAGCGAAGACCAGACCGATGGCGTTCGTCGACATCTGATATGCGATTAATTCCTTTACGTGAGACGTTACGTACGTCACAAATCTGCGAGTGACGATCGAGATCGTCTGAAGATTATTGTATATATGGTTCAGTATGTTAACATGTTTACATTTGAAAATGATATCAAATGCCATTTCGCCAGTTCCATGTAAATGATTTCAATCAGTTAAATTGATTCTTAGGAATAAAGTGTGCGGAGATAATATTCGATAAATCGAAAGATCACACACACATACACACACATATCGCAGTTCTCGCCGTTCAATTTAAATTTCCGGCATTTAAAATATTAAGTACTGACACATGCTCCCATAATATTAACCGTGACACATTTCATGTCCATGTATACTTATTATAATTATTGTTATATATACCGGGTATTTCAGACCACCCGGATCACCCGATTTTTTCGTTAACTCGACATTTTAGAAAAAATATTTCGGACAAAAGTTGTAGGACTTCAAAAGATCTATTTACTGACGCTATGAATGTGACCTTAGGATAACCTTGAAAAATCCAGTCAAGATCAACATAAAAATCTTAAATGGATACTCCAATTTTTCATTACATCTTTTTCTAGCAATTAATTTGGACAACTTTTGTCTGAAACATTTTTTTATTTACCTAACAATTTTTGAGATATTTAAGGAAAATTTAATCATTTTTTAAATATTTAACTCACGATATCTCGTTAACTATTTTCTAACTCACTAATTATACTCGCTGTTAGAAGAAAAATTATACTAGACTTTTTTATTCTATTTTCAAAAATTATATAAATAGACTTTTTTATTCTAGTCTCAAAAATATATTGTTTCAATAGCGCCCTGAATTTGGTTAATTTGATGATGTTGAAATTTCCAAAAATCAGCAAGTTAACAAAAGTCGGGGCGCTATTGTAAAAATATATTCTTGAGACTAAATAGAGCAAAAAAGTCTAGTACCACTTTTTCTTCTGACAAATAGTGACATTAAGGATGTGACATTTAGAATATGCGGCATAGGAGAATATATTTATGATATGGATATAAAGAATAAAATTCTTACACATTACCTATCGTTTCTTGGGAATATGAAAAGAAAAATCTCTATAAGATATTAAAGATTTGATATTTCGTAAAGGAATAAAATTCTCACGGAAAAAATAAATTCATTTATCCAATTTAAAAGAACCTGATATCTTATATGAAGGAGAAAATTTCATACACAATGAGATGAATCGGCATTTTATAATCAAACTTTTCAAAAACTTTAAGGACTTGCTATCTTGTTTAAATTCACATAAACAAATTTATGAATCTTACCTTATATGCAGTGTTGGTTTTAATATTTCGTTCAGTCTTCTGAGCTCAATTATATTTGTTATAGATAAAAATTCAGTCCAGACATCAAGAGTTAGTCGCACATCAATCTGCGGCCGACTGATCGGGGCAAACACCAGCTTCTGCTGTTTGCTGTTTAATCTTGAGGATTTCCTGACATATAGTGGTCTATTCATCATAATACTAATAACAAACTTTTGCTCCTTTTATTCGTGCGAATGTCAAGTGGATCTCATGCAATTAAAACTAATCGTAAGATACTAAAATATTTTATTCTTTTGAGTTACATGATCATAACCTTGAAAAATTGTTATGAAAGCTACCGTTTTATTTTTTATTTTTAACTGAACATTATTTTTAATTAAACATATATTGATATGCAGAGGATAAATTGAAATTTTTCTCACTCTGTTTTTCACTTCTGTTTTTGTACGTATTTTATCAATTAAGGAGATCTCATTCTTTTTTCTACGTTTTCGAAGAATTATAGTTTCTGAAAAAATAATGTATTCTGTTGTATAAAAATTTTTCAGTTTTGTCAATAATTATATGTCAAATATATTTCTCAAATAGGTCTCTCAAATATCCAAGATATTTCTCAAAATTTTCATAAAGATGCATAGCTACCCACGTTATTGTTACCCACGTAGCATAAAGGTCATATTAATCACAATGAGGTCACACCAAAATCATATAAATGTGCGACATCGAATGCGCTCTATCTTATATGTACGTTGTGTCTTTATGACATCATTCCTATGACATTCATATGACATTAACCTCGCAAGGACATCGTATCATGCATGTGCACACATACGTGTTTTTGAGCGAATTTTAAAACGATTTTCCTGTTTGCAAAATGTTATACGAGACTTAGTTTTTTAGTTATAAAGGTAAATAGTTTTCCTATAACTGGTCGCGTATAGGGAAGAGGTAGTCAAGGACGGCACAACTCACTATCAGATATTGATTTTAATGCGATAAGCTTATCGATGATGTACATATTTTTATAACTTCCATCGATGATTGTGTGTATCATATCGCATGCCGCGGAGAGATTCTGTGAAGCCAACATATGTTCCTCCTCTACGCAAACGCGTATCATTGCACAGCGAAAAGAGATAATTTACAGCAAAGTTATTTGGCATGAATAGATTAATGTGATCGCTAAGTAGCAAGGATTAATGAAATCTTAATAGAGAATGAAGTTTAATTGCAATAGCGAATGGTTTTAAATTAATAGAGTACGATTGTACCGTTTGAGGACAAAATATTTGATTACGCGAATTATTATTCGCAGACTGGAAAATAAACTTTTGAAAATATAAACATGAAAAGAAAGGCGGAAAAAGACGAGTTATTATGATTTAAAACAAGATATTCTTATATTTAAGAGAATCGACGGATTAATATTCCTTCTTAAAAGTTATTTATTTTCAAAATGACGGCTTTTACAATCCGTTAGCGCGCATTCTTTTCCGTAATATATTAAGTAAGTCGCTTACTTTAATCAAAATAAATATTTGTTCGTAATTCCGGCAATATTAATTTTTCGACACGTATTTACTAATATCTTTTCCTTGCATTTTGTGAATACTATCTATTCTTGAAGTCTTGAATTCTTTTTTTTAAGTGTTCTATATATATATACATGGATTATTTGATAACTTATTAATGATAAGTTTCAAGACTAAAAATAAGGATGACGTTATTGGTCGGAAAGTGTTGGAAGGTGTGAAAGCTACTTCTTAATCTTTTACATCTTTTAATAATTACTCGCAATTTTTCAGTCATAAGCAACGCTTAGTTTTATTTTCACAGCCAGTTGTATTACGCGTGTCAGTACATTTTTCAACAATGCAAAAATCCAATATCGTTCTGTGATTAAATACTTGAATCTAAAAAGGAAAATTCCAACAGTAATAAAAACCTAGTTGGATTCTGTTTGCGGTGATTCTGCTTTTTCGTTTTCAACGGTGAAAGTTTGGGTTACCGTAGTTGTGCCCGTACCAGTGTGTTTGATAATGAACCCAAAAACGTTCGGATCGCTCAAAAACTGTAATTGAGAAAATGGTCAACAAAGTGCATGAAATCGTATAATCGTATCCCAAAAACATAAAGGAATAGGAAGATTAGGATATAAAAATAATTCGCGACCAATGAGCAAGTGACTGAGCCGCTGCAAACGAGTATTTTGCAGGACTTGTCCTAACCTACTTTGTTGACGGAATGAGAGGACTAGAAAAGAGATGGAAACGAAGTATATCGAGCTAAAAGAAGACTATATTGAAAAATAAAACACATTTTGCATAAAAATATGTGTTTCATTGTTAAACTCGAAACTTATCAAACAACACATATACACATGTGTATGTTCGATTGAACTTCGTGAGAAGCTTCTTAAGCAGAAGCAAGCAAGTATTAAGCCAAGATAATGGAATATTTATATAGAGGAAGATGTGTTTCTTTTAACAGTTGTAAGATTTTTATATCAGACAACGAATTTAAAAAAAATATCTCACACCTGTGGATCTCTAATCGGATATTGAGGACATATGATGTATTAAATAATAATGCATTAATAATTAAATATGAGTCTGCAATTGTACTTGAATAAAAATATATGTATTCTTAATACTCCACAATAAACTGGTTATTCGATTGCTGGATTAAACGCCTCGGCGGGGAGTACCGACAATACTTTCGCACATCGCATCCATCGACATCGGCTCTTTCATTTCATATGTGGATTCAAACACTCTTTATTCCCTATTTTAATAATAATAGCCGGGCACTGGTCTTTACGACCCTCAACATATAATATCTTATAGG